ATATAAAATGAAATAAAAAACATCCAGAAAGAAACAAGTAAAACAATCCCATGTCACACATGGCATACAGAATCAACTAACAAACTATTAGAACTAATAATAGCTTAAGCAGTTTGCAAGATACAAAATCAGATGAAAATCAATTGTATGTATACCTAGGTAAGCAACAAAAAATTAATATTAAAATAGTTATGCTTATAAAGTCATTGAAAGTAATAAAATATTTAGGAATAACTATAACAAAAAAAACAAAACATATAAATTTGTAAAATTATACTCATATAAATTTGCAATTAAACCCACAAAACATCATTGGAAGAAATTAAAGCAACTTAAATACATTTGAGAACATCACACATTCATGGGTAAAAAACTTAAGGTCGTAACAGCCGGGCGCTGGTGGCTCATGCCTGTAATCCTAGCTACTCAGGAGGCTGAGATCTGAGGATCACGGTTCCAAGCCAGCTGGTGCAGAAAACTCCGTGAGACTCCTATCTCCAATAAACCACTAGAAAACCACCACTAGAAAACCAGAAATGGCGCTGTGGCTTAAGTGGTAGAGTGCTCACCTTCAGCTGAATTGCTGAGAGACAGCACCGAAGCCCAGAGTTCAAGCCCCAGGACCAACAAAAAAAAAAAAAAAACCTTAAGGTCGTAAGAGTTGTATTCTAATTGACCTACAGATACAAAACAATCCCAGTCAAAAATCACCAGCTGGCCAGGGGCTGGTGGCTCAAGCCTGTAATCTTAGCTACTCAGAAGGCTGAGATCTGAGGATCACAGTTCAAAGCCAACCCAGGCAGGAAAGTCCATGAAACTCTTATCTCTATTAAACCACTAGAAAACAGGAAGTGGTACTGTGGCTCTCATGGTAGAGCGCTTTCCTTGAGCTAAAGAGCTCAGGGACAGGGCCCAGGCCCAGAGTTCAAGCCCCATGACTGTCCAAAAACAAAACAAAATCATAGCTGGACACAGTTCTGTACTAGATCTGTCTTCTCTTAGTAAATTATTACCCATTAAAAAAAAATAATTCAACTTCTTGCCCATGTAATTGTAACCCCTCTGTACAGTATGTTCACAAAAAATAAAATAAAATATAAAAAAAATTTTTAAAAACCTAAAAAATAAAATAAAAAAAATAATTCAACTTCTTAAGAGTCTTCACTCCCATTTTGCTACCTACCCTGACTATTTCCCATTGGAGTACTTTTACACTGCTTGATCTCATCCACTGGATGCGGTGGCACTAATCTCATCACTGTAAATATACTGGCATTATGTCTGCTGGAGGTCAGTCTTCTCGAACAACAGGAGGAAATAACTTCCTCAGTAGAGAATGAGTTAGGTACAACAATCCAACAAGATAACCCACAAATTCTACCTAGAAATACCTAAAATCCTAGACTAAAGATAACGAACATTCTTTAAATGAATAGCTTGGCTCACAAGAATTTACAAGGAATCTCCAGGGATCAAAAACAAAGATGAGACTGGGTGACAGAGGCTCACACCTGTAATCCTAGCTACTCAGTTGGAGCTGGAGCTCAGAGGGTAGGACACTAGCCTTGAGCAAGAGAGCTCAGGGAGAGCACCCAGGCCCAGAGTTCCAGCCCCAGAACCCACATAGAAAGAAAAAAGAAAGAGGGGGGCAGGGGAAGAGGAAGGAAGGATGGAAGGAAGGAAAGGAGTGGTAGAGTACTTAAATAGCATGAACAATGCCCTAAATTCAATCCCTAGTCACAGCCAAAAAAAAAAAAAGAGGAAGCTAAAGAAATACTATATCCATAACAGCAAATACCAGTGATAATTTTGAAAATAAAAATTACCCAAAGGATTAAGTTTGAACTCTCTAAGAAAGTAACCAGACACTGTTTAAAGTTAAAGATTAAAAGAAAAACTTCCTAGAAAAAGACCAGCGTGCCAGAAGGTTACATTCTCAATCAGGAAGGGGGCAGGGAATCAATCTACTAGTACTCAGAGAAACAATTACTTTTTATCAATATCTCTATGGTCAAAGTAAAGGATAAAGTCTCCTCTACAAATCAGATACCATGGGCCTACCCAATAGGTACCTGTGTATATGCAATCTCATTTTGTTCTTAGTATCCAAATAATTCAAAAACCTTCATGCCAACAAATATAAAAATAAGCACCAGAGCCAGGTGCCAATGGCTCACACCTGTAATCCTAGCTACTCAGGAGATTGAGAGCTGAGGATTCCAGTTCAAAGCCAGCATGTAGCGCTGTGGCTGAAAGTGGTAGAGAGCTAGCTCAAGGACAGAGCACGGGCCCTGAGTTCAAGCCCCCATGACCAAAAGAAGAAAGAGAGAGAAAGAAAAGGAGGGAGGGAGGGAGGGAGGAAGGGAGGGAGGATGGAAAGAAGGAAGGAAGGGAGAAAAAGAGAGGAGAGAGGAAGGAAGGAAAGAAGGAAGGAAGGAAGGAAAGAAAAACCACCAATAATACCCTAAAGTGCCTAAAAGAAATAAACCTAATCCCTATCCCCACTGGGCCATTTCTGCAACTCAACCCATCTTGAAACTCAACAAAAAAGATGCCAAATAGTAAGACACAAGCCAAAATCTAAACATGGGGGGGGGGGGGAATACATACACACACACACACACACACACACACACACAACATGAGTAAGAACTAAAACAGAATTAAACACCTAACAAATCAAACTACCAAGCGCCTTTAAAATAACTAAAAAAAATGAATAGAAGATGAAAGAATTCAAATACATTAGGCATTTAAAAAAAAAAAGAGGGCTGGATATGCAAATCAGTGGTAGGGGGCTTGTTTAAGGCCCTGTGTTCAATTCCCACACAAGAGAGGGAAAAGCAGTTTCAAAAAGAAGACCAACAACCCGGTGCCAGTGGCTTATGCCTGTAATCCTAGCTACTCAGGAAGCTGAGATCTGAGGATCTAGATTCAAAGCCAGCCCAAGAAGGAAAGTCCCAGAGACTCTTATCTCCAACTAACCATCAGTAAACTAAAAGTGGACTGTGGCTTAAAGTGGTAGAACACTAGTCTTGAGCAAAAAAAGCTCAGGACATTGCCCAGGCCCTGAGTTCAGGCCCTACAACCAAAAAAAAGAACTTGCCTATATTGCAGGCAGATAGGAATCTAGGGCAGTACAGTAGTACCAGACAAGTACCATACCAGACAAGTGATTCTTACACAAATATTAATTTACTTATTTTGAGTCAGCACAATATTGCTCACTAAAAGCAGACCAGATTCAATCCAAGGACCACTTTTTATATCGCTCTCACGCTAAGAACTGTTTTCACAACTTTAAAAGTGGGAAAGAGGGGAGAAATGGCAGGGAAAGAAGAGTTGGAGGAGGAAGAGCAAGCAACAGATACAAGTTGACTGATTTTTTTCTTTTTTTTTTTTTTGGTGCCACTCTTTTTTCCTGCTTAACTAAAACATTACTTGGTTTTAAGATAAATTAATAGCTTTCGCAATCAACTACTGCTGTATTTTCTTACTACTATAACTCACATTTCACCTTGAATGAACATATAAAATATATGAGGTGAACATTAAAATGTTTACCTTAAACACTAACAACATGTATGAATATAGCATGGCTTGTTCACATTACTGATACTGATAAGAAGATGAAAACCTCTGTGATCAACCGTCAAGCAAACAAAAATGTGTGTCCCAGGAGTTCATCTTTTCAGCTAAAAGCCTTCTCTTGTGAATGAAGCGGAAACTAGACAAATTTCTCTGATTTGTCCCTACTGTAGAATTTTAGCTGAGAATGTTATGTTACCATTATGAAGCCTCGCAAATCATATTTTAAATTCTGAACAATATTTCCTGCTTTATACCCTGCTATTTTCAGTCTGAAATAGTATTAGCTTCCTGGTGACCTTAATAAACTTTTTTTAGAGGAGTTGACTTTGATGAATACCTTGGATTACCAATCAAGAAATAGGTAATGAAAGTAAGGTTTTCTCATTAACTACCTTATAAAGAATGTAAATTAGTACTAAAATTCTCATGGTTAAAACAAATTTTAGCAAAGAAGCCAAAATCAAATTTTTTTCAAGAAAAAAAGACAGGAAAGGCAGAATTAATAACCTTTCATTAAAAATTATTTTAAATGCAACTGTCAAATTGTAAGTTAACATTTGTTTTCAGGTTGCTAGTTTGCAATTATTTCCATTTGGGCTTTTTTTAAATAAACAGTTACAAAACAAGTTTGTTACAAAGAGACAAAATGAACAACAGTTCTAAATAAGACAAAAATTAAGGATCACCATCAAACTTGAAAATCCTTTGCATTAAATTACTACACTATGAAAGCAGACATTACCAAAAGATCTACCCGTCAAAAGTAGTGTGGAAAAAAATTTTAAATAATAATAATACCTTAAAGTATATCTACTAATACTTCATTCCATAGTCTAATAATTTGCATTCTTTTCCCATGGGATTTTTTTTCTACTCATTCACAGCTCATTACTGCTAAAAAATGCCTGCTGTGTTAAAAATGCCACATAAAATTATATATCATTCACTGCTTTATGCTATACCTTCTTTTGTTCAGGTCCAATTAGCATCAGGCTATCTCTCATTCATCAAACTTTTAGCTGAACACATTAAAGCATTTAGGAAAGCTTAAACAATTATAGCATTCCCTTAGCAATACTGGAGTTATACTGGAGAAAAGCGCTCTCATAAAGAAGTACTACATAAACATTTCAAATCTAACTTTCTCATGCTTTCTTTCCTTAAACCAACTTGCTGACCACAACTGACCTAACAATTTTTTATTTTATTCTGGGTTTTTAGGCTTTGAAGAACAAAAAATTATAGGGAATATTGTGATGCTTCCACTTTTGCTTACTACAACAGTAGTAAATAGACGGTTCTAAAACTTGAAGATGACTTTTGCAGACCAAAAGAAAATTAAACTTCACATTTTTTTCTACTTCAGCCAAAATCCAATGTGTATTTAAACTAAGTAAAAACATACTTACAGAACTAGCATCAACATCACTGTGGATGGCAACTGTCTTAATGCCCATCTTCTTGCAAGTTTTAATAACCTATTGAAAATACGTCCATATTATTTATTAATATTCATATTTAGAGGAACAATTTCATAGAATGAAACGGAAAATAACTTAAATGCTACTCACCCTACATGCAATTTCTCCTCGATTAGCAATAAGAATTTTATCAAAAGTCTACAGAGAGAAAAAAATAGAAAATCTTAATCTTATTTTGGACCAAAAAAAAACCATTTTTCTACAATTAACAATAGATATCTTAGTGAAAATTTACTTCCAAGAATAATATTAAATGTTATAAATTTAATGTTTATTGACAATCAGAGAACAATTAAATTCTGACCTCATTACTTTGTTAAAACATCTATTGACTAGGTTAATTTATTCATTAATTAATTCATTAATGATTGATAATCATCAATCAGTAATAAGTTGACTTACTGATAAATTCTCCTGACAAAAGCAAATCTTCAAATAATATTTTAGAAAAATAAATTTCTATCGAAAGTACTTTATAAGTTAGAGGTAATGGTTCAAGCCTGGAATCCTAGCAACTTTTTTTTTTTGGGGTCCGGTTGTGGGGCCTGAATTCTGGGCCTGGGCACTGTCCCTCAGCTCTTCAGCTCAAGGCTAGCACTCTACCACTTGAGCCACAGCGCCACTTCTGGCTTTTTTCTTTTTGCTTATGTGGTGCTGAGGAATTGAACCTAGGGCCTCAGGCATGCAAGGCAAGCGCTCTACCACTGAGCCACCTTCCCATCCCCAAATTAAAAAGTGGCTTCAGTTATAAGACAGCCTGCTTAAAAAGCTTAAAGCTAGGGGCTGGGAAGGTAGTTCAGTGGTAGAGTGCTTGCCTTGCATGCATGAGACCCTGGGTTCGATTCCTCAGTACCACATAAGCAGAAAAAGCCAGAAGTGGTGCTGTGGCTCAAGTGGTAGAATGCTAGCCTTGAGCTGAATAGCTGAGGGACAACATCCAGGCCCAGAGTTCTGACCCCACAAACAACAACAACAAAAAAGCTTGAAGCCCTCAGTTCAAATCTAGTACCAACCCCTCAAAAAAAGTGCTAAAAGAAAAAGCTGGGAGCCAGTGGCTCATGCCTGTAAGCCTAGCTACTCAGGAGGCTCAGATCTGAGGATCATGGTTCAAAGCCAGCCCCGGCAAGAAAGTCCGTGAGACTCTTATCTCCAATAAAAACCACTAGAAAACTGGAAGTGGTGCTATGGCTCAAGAGGTGGAGCGCTTGCCTTGAGCTGAAGAGCTGAGGGACAGTGTCCAAGCCCAGAGTTCAAGCCCCACGACCAACCAAAAAAAAACCACTGAGCACCTGTGGCTCACACCTATAATATTAGTTACTTAGGAAGCTGATATCTGAGGATCACTGTTTAAAGCCAGCCCGGACAGGAAAGTAGTGCAACTCTTATCTTTAAGCACCAAAAAGCCAGAAATGATGCTCAAATGGCAGAGCTCTACCCTTGAGTACAAAAGCTCAGGGACAGCACCCAGGCCCTGATTCAAGCCTCAGGATCAGTGCAAAAAAAGATAAAAATTAAAAATGCTTAATAATTTACATGACTATTTTCTAAATTCTGGAAAGTCCTTACTGTTATCAGTTGTCCATAAGAAGAAAGTCTAATAAGTATAACTGATATGCCATCTCTGTTACAGTGGGATATAATTTCAATAATTCCACACAGGTACCAACTGTGCTTCTATCCAAAGATACCACACCAAATAGATTATGTCTTTTGAAAACAATGTTAAGTCTGACTATCAAATTTGGAAGATAAAGAGTCTCACAGTCTTTCCTGACCAACCTTGCTTCAAACTTCAATCCTCAGATCTCAGCCTCCGGAGTATGGAGGATTATAGTGAGCTACTGATTGCTGGCCTTGTTTTGTTCTTTGGTTTGTGTGTTTTCATCTCTCAGCACTTTCCCTTCCCCATGCTTAAATGCTCACTACTGCAGTAAAAACCACTGCTGGCATGTCACCTATTCAGAGACCAAGAGGACTGAGTTGGTCAGTCCTCCTGGGACCTTGGTCCTTTCTTTTTGGATAATCTCATCTCTCCTTAAGAGAAAGCAAGATGTCTGTCATTATCACTAGCCCCCATGTCAGCAGTATTCAAGAGATTATTCAAAAACATAGGACCTCTTTGTATATCACCTTGACAATAAAACTAAATTTAAAAAAATAGGACAATACAGAGGATCAACTGGAGTAAGGGAAAGAAGATCCAGACCTGGCAAATCTGATGACATACTTCAAACTTGCACGTGCTGAATGAAGGTGGGTCAACCAGAGTTACCCTGGCACCTTATGGAAAACAAATGATACACCAGGACTCCTGCTCTGTGCTTCTGATATAAAGATGCATTTCTTTGGCAGGAGAGTTTTCTTATCAGAAAAGTTTTCTGATCCATAGTGCACTGTGATATGAGTATCACTGTTAACTTAAGACTTTTGCATAGGTAAATTTGTGACTCAGGGTAGTGATTAGGCTTGATTTCATTTGTAAAATGGGAAGGTTATCAGAACTGATTTCATAGACTATTGTGCTTGTAAGTAACTATTACGTGATAAATATATCATGGTTGGTGTGTGAAAGCTGTTTAACATTATCCTCTGGAACTTGCAGAATTTGGGCACTGTCCCTTAGTTTTTTGGGGTGTTTTTTGTTTGTTTGTTTTTTTGGTTGGTCATGGGGCTTGAACCCTGGGCTTGGGCGCTGTCCCTGTGCTTTTCAGCTCAAGGCCAGCACTCTAGCTCTTGAGCCACAGCGACACTTCCAGTTTTCTAGAGGTTTATTGGAGATAAGAGTCTCATGGACTTTCCTGCCCCGGCTGGCTTTGAACCATGATCCTCAGATCTCAGCCTCCTGAGTGGCTAGGATTACAGGTATGAGCCACTGGTACCCGGCCTGTCCCTTAGTTTTTGCACTCAAGAATGGCACCCTTCCACTTGAGCCACAGCTTCATTTCTGACTTTTTTGGTTGTTAATTGGAGATAGTCTCATGGACTTCCCTGCCTGGACTATGAACAGGAAGCCACAACCCAGCTTGCTTAATATTATCTTTAATTCAATTTTGCAAATTTGTCTACCAATGTTCAAAACATCAAGACAGTGGACATAAACTGGGAGCAGTTGCAAGCCTGCTTTTCCAAAGCTGGTGGATGGATATGCCCATCATGCTATACCCTACCTCAGAATTGCTCAGCGAACGGCTCAGCTTTGGAGTTCTGTCATTACTTCTTCAGCAATACCTAGTACATTCCTAGGTATTGGTGGGGTTTTTTATTTATTTTGATGATTAACAAATTTTATGTTTTTGTTTGTTTGTTTGTTTGTTTGTCCTGGGGCTTGAACTCTGGGCCTGGGCACTATCTGTCCCACAGCTCTTCCACTCAAGGTGAGCACTCTACCATTTGAGCCACAGCACCTCTTCTGGTTTTCTGGTGGTTTAGTGGAGATAAGAGTCTCATGGACTTTTCCACTCCAGGCTGGCTTTGAATCACTGTCCTCAGATCTCAGCCTCCTCAGTAGCTAGGATTACAGGCGTGAGCCACCAGCACCAGGCTTATGTAAGTATTAATAAAAATTGTTTTAAAAGTAAGTAAAAGTCACTCTTGGTAACATACATCTATAATCCCAGCTACTCAGGAGGTAGAGGCAAGTGGGTTAAGGTACAAGGCTGGCCTCAGCAAACAAAATGAGAAATTTTATCTGAAAGAACAGAATGTATGCCTAGCACATACAAGTCACTGAGTTCAGGCCCAGTACCTAGCAAAAGGAAAAGAAAACTATTACAATGTAGCTGCTTGACAGGATTATTAAATACTTACTTTTTCATTGGGGTCACATCCTCCTGAACCCAGGCTACGGGACAATACCAGGCACTGTCTTGAATAGGGTGGAACATGCTATTTAAAAAAGGAGAGAAAGAAAACAAATTAGATTCTTCCTAAATATGTATAAAAATATTTTTTCAGGGTGATTTTTCCAGTTCTAAACTATTTTATCAGTCAAAGGTAGCTTAAGCAATATACCTTAATTATGAAAAAAATCATAACTACAAACATTTCCTTAGCATACAAAAGAAACTAGAGGCATCAAAACAGCAACCACAACAATTTAATACAATAGTAACTGGGTCAAGAAAGATCTTCCTAAACATTCACACTGATAGTCCAAGGTCAGAAATGTCACAAACAACTCTTCAAAATACTAACAAGGGCTAGGGGAACAAAGTACTTGGCTAAGATTAGGAAGAGGAGGGCTGGGAAGGTGGCTCAGTGGTAGAGCACTTGCCTTGCATGCCTGAGGCCCTGGGTTCGATTCCTCAGCACCACATAAGCAAAAAGAAAAAAGCCGGAAGTGGCGCTGTGGCTCAAGTGGTAGAGTGCTAGCCTTGAGCTGAAGAGCTGAGGGACAGCGTCCAGGCCCAGAGTTCAGGCCCCACGACCGGACCCAAAAAAAAAAAAAAAGATTAGGAAGAGGAGGGAAGAGGGAGGGTGGGAGGGTGGGAGGGAGGGAGGGGGGAAAAAAAAGGAAAAAAAAAAAAAAAAAAAGAAGGGAGGAAGGGAGGGAAGGAAAGATACAAAAAGAAGGGATAAAAGGACAGAGGGGGAGAAACACTACACGAGAGAATGAAGCTTAGCACAGAGAAAGAACTTCGGGGAAAGAATGGACAAGCTTAAGTACTAATTATAAGTACTAACTAAACTGAGTACTAACTCAGTCTCACAATATCTCTACAACTGAAGCAACCTACTTTGAATCTCTGAGCTCTCTACTAGAAAAACAAAAACTCAGGTGACTTTTCACCAAGGTCTCTTACTGAGAGAGTCATTAAAAAAACTCTAAACACAAGGCACATGAGAACTCTGAGAATTTACCTGAAAACATCAATCAAATGGATGCTATGTTTACTCTCAAAAACTATCAATATATAAAATACACTTTAAAAAAATCTATAGCACAAAGCTCTAATTTAATCTATTATAAGTAATACCAGACCAAACAATAGATGTGCCAGTATGCCTGAGTGAAATGGAGTTCCTTTTTTTCTTAAATTTTTTCATTACTATTTTTACGTACTTGCTTCTGATTATCTAAGAAACCATATAATGGTTGGGAAGGTGGCTCAGTGGTAGACTGCTTGCCTTGCATGCATGAGGCCCTGGATTTGATTCCTCAGCACCACGCAAGCAGAAAAAGGCAGAAGTGGCGCTGTGGCTCAAGTGGTAGAGTGCTAGCCTTGTGCTGAAGAGCTGAGAGACAGGGCCCAGGCCCAGAGTTCAAGCCCCCACGACCAATATAAATAAAAAAGAAACCATATAATGACAACTTTATCCAAAAAAAAAAAGAGGACAAGTTGGATGCTGATGGCTCACACCTATAATCCTAGCTACTCAAGACACTGAGAGCTGAGGATCACAGTTCAAAGCCAGTCCAGGCAGGAAATTCCATGAGACCTTTATTTTCAATTAACTACCAGAAAACCAGAAGTGGAGCTATGGCTCAAAATGGTAGAGAACTAGCCTTGAGCAAAACTTCACAGGGACAGCACCCCAGCTATGAATTCAAACCCCACAAAAGGGAGGAAAAAAAAAAAGTACACAACTTGTAGAATTATGCAGTTGTGAAAATGTGGTCCAAAGTTTTAAAAAGCATGGAGGTACCTAGTAACACAAAGTAGAAATTATTAAAGCAAAAAGCACAGCAGAACAAGTTTTACTCAGGTAAAACAAGGATGTGAGCCCTTTCCGTAGCAAGCCTGAACTGGTTGAGTCAGCATAATAAAACCTGTTTGTTTACTCTTGACAAGACTTCCCATAAATTTGAAAATGAAAAATTCAAAGCCAGCTGTGGTAGCACAAGCCTATAATCGTAGCCAGTAGGACAGCAGCGATTGGAAGGACTAAGATTCATGGTCAGCCAAGACAAAATGTTACTTAGACACTGAAATACAGATATTGGTCTAACTAGTGCCATCCTGGCAACTTGGTGGATGATGAAATTCCCCCCCACCCCCAGGTGATAAGCATGCCTGAATTACTAGAAGCAGAAACAAGGTTCCAGGACCTGCCAGATCTGTACCATGAACTCTCCAGACCCCTGTGACCTTCCTCCCTAACCCTGACCCTATTTAGGCCCCACCACCTCAGCTGCCATTGCACCATGCCTCGCGACTCCTGTCTCTTCTCAGGCCACCATGGCAACCTTCTTCAACTCTCCATTGGTCTGATTTGTTGAGATTGTTGTTCTGCTCTTTCTTTACTACCCTCATGGCTCAGTTTCCTAAAGAACTGAGTGGACTGGAGGCTGCAAGTTTTTTAGGGGGGACATGAGTCTGCCTGCAGTCACTGGCTTCCCAATAAAGACTCCCCATTCAACTTCTAAAAATGTGGCTTCTCTGTATCTCGTAATCGAATTGCCCTATGACATCATCTCAACAAATATGTCAGACGTGGTGGCACATAGCAATCCAATCTATGTGGAAGGAGACAGATAGGAGGGCTCCAGGTCAGAGGTCAGGGAAAAAAGTAAGTCCCTCCCTTAAAATCAAGGCAAAAATGGCTGTGGTACAGCAATCAAGTACCTGAGTTCAAACTCCAGTACTACCGAAATTAGTAAGTGGGTGGATGGGTAGACAGGCATACAGATAAATAAAATTCTAACAACAAAAATTCTGAGGATACTGGGTTCATAGCCCATACCTATAATTCCAGCCCTCAAGAGGCTAAAGCCTAAGGCTCAAGGCCATCTTGAGTAATTTAGACCCTATCTCAAACTAAAAAAAAATTAAATTAAATTAAGCTTAACTAAGTTCCAGTAGCTCAGGCATGTAATCCTAGCTCCTCTGGAAGTTGAGACTTAGAGAGAACATGGTTTGAAGCCAGCCTAGACACAAAAGTTCTCAAGATACCATCTCCAATTAACCAGCAAAAAGTCAGGCTGCAGACATGGTTTAAGAGATAGAGTACCAGGTAGGAGAAAAAGCTGCCCTGAGTTCAAACCCTGAGTTCAGCCCAAGGCCCTTAGTTCAAACCCTGGTACCAGAACAAGAAAAAAAGTTACAAGGAAAAAATTTTAATCAACTTTGAGACTACCATAGACAAAAGAGAAAAGTCAGTATGTACAAAATGACTTCCCAATAACATACTGCCATTATTCCCTTCCTCAGGAAGAAAGATGTCCTACATTCCTCACACTATTTACATCACGGCCCAGGAGAAGTGCTGGGACCCCCACGCAATCAAAGGACCTGGGCCAACTCCTAGCTCCACCATTTCATATCCACAAGACACGAAGCAAATCATTTCCTGAAGCCCCAGTTTTCATCTAGAAAATGTAGGTGATGACCCCTCCTGGCTTTCCCGGATGTTTATTACAAGGATAAAATGATCATCAACAACAACAACAAAAAGAGTTACTCTTGGCTCTTCCTGGTTCCTCCATTATTTGTGTATTTTCCTCCTAACCCAAAGCAAGTAGTTTTGGATTGAGTTCCAAAATAACATCCCAAATCTGACCAATTCTCATCTATTCTGGCACTATTACCCAAACATAAGTGACCACCATCTCTAGCTTAAGACTTCTCCAGCAGCCACCTGACTGCTTTCCCTGCTTCCACTCTCCCCACAAATCCCAATGAGACATTCCTCACATAGTGGGCACAGCACTTTGCGTCTTTCGTGTGTGTGTGTGTGTGTGTGTGTATGCGCGCGCGCGTGCGCGCGTGTGCGCGCGTGCATGTGTGCACATGCGCGTTAGTCCTGGGCTTGATCTCAGGGCCTGAGTATTGTCCCTGAGCTTTTGTGCTCACAGCTAGCCCTGGAACCACAGCTCCCTTCTGGTTTTTGGGTGGTTAATTGGAGATAGGAGTTTTGTGGGGCCAGGAGTTTATTGGCTCACACCTATAAACCTAGCAACTGGGGAGGTTGAGATCTGAGGATCACAGTTCAAAGCCAGCCGAGGCAGGAAAGTCTGGGAGATTCTTTTTTTTTTTTGTCGGTCATGAGGCCTGAACTCAGGGCCTGGGCACTGTCCCTCAGCTCTAGCTCAAGGCTAGTGCTCTACCATTTGAGCTATAACACCACTTCCGGCTTTTTCTGCTTATGTGGTGCTGAGGAATCGAACCCAGGGCCTCATGCATGCAAGACAAGCACTCTACCACTGAGCCACCTTCCCAGCTCAGTCTGTGAGACTCTTATCTCCAATTAACCACCAGAAAACAGGAAGTGGCATTGTGGCTCAAGTGGTAGAGCGCTAGCCTGGACAACACCCAGGCCTAGAGTACAGGCCCCACGACCAACCAAAAAAAAAAAAAAAAAAAAAGGTTTTATGGGCTTTCCTGCTAGCTTCAGAGATCCTCAAATCCCAGCCTGCAGAGTAGCTAGGATTATAGGCATGGCCTGAGGCACAGATGCCTGATTTAGCAGTATAAGGAAACACCCACCTCCCAGACCTTATCTCCTCCCTTGATAGCAGCACCAGTGCAATAGGTGAGTCACCTCCCACTCCGTCCCGGGTATAAAAGGAGCCTCTAAGGAGCCAGATGCCACCATTATCTCCCTTTCCTCATGAGAACTTGGCCTGTCAGCTCTGCTGGCAATAAATCTTTCCTTCTACTTGACTTCTGTCCATGTGGTCTTTTGGGTTACTTTCTTTGGGTTACTTCCTACCCAGGTTTACATTTTCTCCTTCAAGCAGTCTTCTCAAAATGTAAATCCAATTTGCTTCTAATCTTTTAACAGGATTCCCATTATTATATTCCAAATAAAGCCCCAAGGTGACTGTGCTGGTTCCCTTTCCTACTAACATCCCCTCTAATGAACTTTATTCCATCCATCCTAACCACATCATACCAAATACAACCTTGATTATAAAATGCGATCTCACCTTCACGCTCCTTATA